TTCGATTCTCCCTAACCATAAATAATCTTGGAGATTTCTTGGACATTTTGGAAATCTTGTAACATTATATACAATCCATCTTTGAAATTAATTTTTATATATCTCTTGGAACTAGGTGAAAAGTTGCCATGAAGTTAGGTCAAAAATCTGCCTTTACTAGGGCAAAATTTCACTAAGTTAAAAGTTTTATGGACCCCTATTCACAAAATCATAACTTGAGATCCAAGCATCTTTTAGGAAAACTTTGTGAATCAAAGTTGTATATTTCATGGAGGACTAGAACTTTCGTGTTGGAAGTTTTCTTTGAATCCAATTGCATCATGGTGAAAAAGTTGTGGAAAGTTGGGAAAAAATAAGAAATTTTCATAACTTAGAAAATTTCTAAGTTATGAAAAATTTCAAATTAAAACCCTAATTTGAAAAATTAGGTTTCTTGATCAACAAGTTTCACATTTTGACCCATCTTGATGAATTATGACCCTTGACACTTGATTTTGACCAAAAAGTCAAAGTTTGACTTTTCAGTGTATAGTTGATTTTTGATCAGTTGACTGGAAAATTCATCTGTCAATCCAATACTTTTGAGATCTTTTGAACTATGTGATTAGTTCAAGATGATGCCATTGAGTCCTTGAAGTCATGTTTGAACCCAATTGGTCATTGGCTAGGTTAAAAATCAGAAATTGCCCTTTCTCACTCAAAACCCTAATTTTGACCATTTTGCCCTTTTGATGATTTGATCAAATTTCTTGAGGAGTTGTGGTCCAAACTTGATCAAATGGTACATAGGAGCCTATAATGTTGATGTGGATAAAAAATTATGAAGTTTGACTGTAAATTGGCCATGGTTGACTTTTTCCCCAATACAGTTGATTTTTAGGTCAACTGTCCAATTGACTGGGCAAAAATGTGATTCAAGGCTTGAAACTTGGCATGAAAAATCTTAGAGGTCCAAGATGGTGTATGAAAGTCATATAAAGCATTGATGGTCCAAAATTCCTTGTGCAAACTCAAACCCTAATTTCAGGCTATCAGTGCAAGGAGATGTCTTGAGTTGAGCAAACCCTAATCTTGTCTTGAGTCCAAGAATTCTTGTGAGGAAAATCTTGATAATATGAGAGGGAAAATTTTGGGGTACAACAGTTAGCTTCAAGGTAATGATGTATATATTTTATCTTTACAAAATAACTATTAATGATGCTTGTATGATAAGTTCAAAGTTGAGAAAACTTACCTCAAAACTGGAAGTCGTGTTTTGAGTTTGAGCACTCATGGATGTGTTGTGATGATCTGAATAGATTTAGTGGACTTCTAGGAAGCTAATGCAAAGCTTACTTTATGCTGAGAGTGCTTGAATCTTTCTAGAGAAGTCAATGTGCAGAAATCTGTTTTTGGAAATGGAGGATGGTGATGGAGGTGTTACAATTGTGTAACAGGGTCCTGGATCACTTCTATATAGTGTACGAATGATGTTTGAAGGATTAAAAGTGAAAACGCACCTATGAAATGTGAGTTTGGAATTCAAAGTCAGAAATGGTAAGTTATGGAGATCTTGGTGCAATTTCTGGTTTGAGGGAGTTTGAGGGAGTTTCAAGGCTTGTGAATTTGTCTTTGGCTTGTAAAATAGTGCCTCTATTTATAGGCAAGAGGTTTGAGGGCTTGAAGTGATCAGATTTAAAAGATCACATGTTATGGTTTTTTGACTTGTTTTTGAAGCAATCTTGACAAACATTGTCCCAAGGTGAAGTACAAAGCAATCTAGAGTAGTTAGAGGCTTTAAACATGATTATCTGATATTGTATGTTGAGTGTGTTCAGAACAAACAAGTTAGATGCTCAAGACAAGTTGACTTTGTGATTAAAGCAACTTTACAAGAATGACAATGTTACTTTGTGCCAAAAATGGATGAATCTCGAACAATGGCTCAAATGCTTGGATCATAGCTCTAACAGTTGTGTAAGAAATTAATTATGGAGTGATTTGCAAGTTAGAATCCTACAAAGCAAGATTTATGCAGCATGGGTTGAGATTTGATCAAGTGTTCATCATCAAAATGACCTAAGATTCAAGAATAAATGTCCAACTTCTTCTCTTCGATTCTCCTAGCTCAAGCATGGTCTCTTCAAGTTCTTGGATATTTTGGAAAGATTGAAACATTGTATACAACCTTCATGTTGACTACTTTGGATAAATCAAATTGGAGCTAGGTGAAAAATTGCTAAGAATTTGGGACAAAAAATCTGCCTAACTTGCCAAAATTTTCACTAAGTGTTTTATGAAAAATGTCATGATTTCATGGGCTTACATATTCAAATCTAAGCATTTTTTGGACATCAAGCCTCTAATACAAAGTTGTATAATTCATCAAGATCTACAACTTTCAGTTTGAAATTTTTCCTTGAATCATCCTGCATTTTGGTGAAAAATTGTCATGAAGTACTGAAATTATCAAGGTTAAAAATACTTAGAAATTTTCTAAGTATGGAAATTTTTGACTTTTTGTGGACTTTCTTGACTTTCTTGATTCTTGATGATCAAGTTTGATATTTTTTAGTATCTTGATGAATCTTGATCTCTGAAATTCAATGTTGGTCAAAAAGTCAAAGTTTGACTTTTTGTGTATTAGTTGACTTTTCATCAGTTGGTCCAAAATTCAACTATCAATCCATTGATCTTGAGAAATGATTTGAGCCATTAAGTTGGGTCAACATGTTGTGTTTGTATCCTTGAAATCATGCTTCAAGCCATTGGATCATGTATTAAGTCAAAAGTTAATGATCAGTCCATCTCAATCAAAAACCTAATTTTGACCATTTTCCCCCTTGATGATTTGAATGCTTTTCTTGAGGAACTGTGATCAAAATTAGATCAATTGATAAGTATTACTTAAAAATATTGATGTTGACCAAAAATCATGAAGTTTGACTAAATGTTTACCATAATTGACTTTTTACCCAATACAACTGATTTTCAATCATATGAGCAATTGATTGAGCAAATTTGTGACACAAGACTTGAAACTTGGTATGAGCAATCTTGGAGACCTATAATGAACCATGAAAGTCATTTGAGGCATCAAAAGTCCAATTGTCCTTGAGAAAATCAAAACCCTAATTTGGAGGCTCAATGCTTAAGAGGTGAGCTTATCTGATAAAACCCTTGAGAATCCTTGAGCATTTGAGATCTTTGGTGAGAAATGTTTTGAGAAAAGAAAGGTAAATTTTTGGGGTACAACAGGTGTGTTAATAAATTCCTTAACCTTTTTTTAGCCTACTCAAGAAAGAACATCCTAACATTTGGATAAAAATAACATAACTACGAGAAATTAACTTGCCACCCCCATATTATACATGGCATCCCCCAAATGGTATGAAAAGACCAAATTATCCATACCCAAATTATTCACCACAAATTCCAAATTTACGTGACCAACCAGATTTTTCAAATTTTTGAGCGATATTAGAAATTTCAAAGGCGATATATTGAAATTTCTGGTACGAAAATACCGGTCGGAAATTTTGAAATTTTCGGTAGTTCAAAATTTTGAGATTAGGACAGCCGCCTCCAGTTTATTGCAGTTCATGCTGACAGTCTCATGGGTTTGATAAATCTAGATGGTGAGATCTATAGAGGTTTAGCTAGGTTAGCCGACGTAGCCCGTGGAGGGTCTATGTAGATCTGTTTTATTTTGGTTGTATTATATGTATGTTTTGTGACACACATACTTCTTATTTATTGCATAATATTTTGGCGATTACATGTTTCAAATTGATGATGAACAAAACATAAAATAATACAACATACATAACCCTAGAACAAATAAACATGAAAATTTAGGCACTTCCGGATGACTTTGGACATTTCAGTATCTTCATTATATCGTCGACGGATCTTCGGATCTGTGCATCCAACTCGATCAGACCTTTAGTTATCCTACGGCGAAATGATTTCCACATGACCTTCACATCTTCATCATTCTTCAACTCGGTTAGGTTATATTTCACCATTCCATTTGTATCAATCAAATCCTCCTGAAATTCTACCTTTCTCACCCTTCTGTTATCAGAATCATGCATCAAATTATTCAACGTTTCTTTTAAGGTGGCAAAGGATTCAGAGCCATCTGAAAGCTTGAATTCAACAAGAGGGTTGTTGATGTTGTAATAACTTCTGCCTTAATCAGAAATTGAGGAAGAGGTATTTTTTTGAGATGTATTTTCTCTATAACACATGCTCCTATTTATATAAATGGTGATGCATTCTAGACCACACAAATGTGTCGGTGCAATCAGAATCATCCAAATATGTCAGCAAAATCTCAGCCGTTTAAAAAACCATGTTTTTATAACTACAAGAAATTTCAGTTAATTTGAAATTTTCGGTACACCAGAAATTTTAAATACACTATCGAAAATTTACGCATATCAAAAAATTTATAGGGCTGTATCAGAAATTTAGATGATACCGGAAATTTCAATCCTTCTACCTGAAATTTCGTTCGAAAATAGTATGTATCTCATTCAAAGATAAAAGTGGAATAAAAAAAATTGAAAAATAATATATTTAATTTAGGAAATGAGATGTTAATTTCTCCCTAACTAACTTGGCCAATTAAAATGACATATCATAGTCCATTGTAATATAAAATGATACATATCCTTCTCAAACACTTCATTTGGTCTTTTTTTTACCGGAAGAAGAAGAAAAAACTTACTTTTTAACTTTACTGAATAATCAAAATATATTTGATCCATATGATAATTCAAATAAATTAATTATTCATTAAAACTAAAAAGTAAAAATATATTATAATAGGAACTATAGGGAGCATATATTTAAATAAATTAAAATTATAATAGGAACTATAGGGACTATGTATTTAAGTAAAAATAAAATTATAATATAAACTATAGGAAGTATATATTTTGGAAATTGTTCTCACAGTTTATTATAAATCATCAAAGCTGTAGGAATTAACGGGCATAATGATAAGGTGAATTCTAAAAAGGAGGTGATAGTCTCATTATGGTATAATGTTTTTGAATTTTCTCATAATTTGAATCCAACTCCAGCTTCTTCATTTTGACATTATTAATCTTCTCCCGGGTTTGTATGGTTTTAGAGGCTACATTTTTAGCTTCATCGAAAATTCCACTTCTCTTCTCTTTACATTTCAGCAAGGCATCCTCTAACTGCAACTTCTCTTGTTCAACCTTAAGTGCTTTTTCCTCCAGCAAAACAATCTGCCCTTTAATATCTTCAATTTCAACATCCATGACTTTAATCTTATCCTCACCAGCAACGATGGACTCTTTGAACTTCTTTATCTTGTTTTGAGATTCTTGAAGCTTGGCTCTTGAATCTGCATCGTCCATGTTAAGTTGTTGAAGAGTAACATTGCTCCGTTTTTCATCATCAATATTGACCGTGGCTTTATTAAAGAATGTGGTGAAATCAGTAATACCAGAATTTTGTTTCACAGAAAGCTCATTAGCTCTATCATTGAGTTTAACTAATAAAGCTTTTACCTCTTCTTCAAGGGTCACATCATTGCTTAAATTTTTCAATAAGTTCTTAGAAAATGCCAATTCTCTTAATTCATCAAGCAGCTTCTCGATTGACTCGTTCGGAGTTTCAGTAGATTCTGCTTGTGTTGTAGATTGAGAAGCCTGTGAAGTACTACCATGTTCATCAGATAAGAGTTTCTCTATGATTGCCCAAGGGTCTTCTTCAAGAGTTTTCTTGTATTCAGAATAATCGACAGGAGAATGTTCTTGAGTACTCAATTTCTTTAATTTTGAAGAGTTTTCTTCAGTTCTTATTTGACCCTTTGAAGAAGAAGGTTTACTTGAAGAACTTTCAGCATCCGTTGAGGAGTTTGGGATTAGTTTGCTGGGAGCTTCTTGTAGTTGTAACAAATTAGTATAAGAAGGAGATGGAATCTTCACTAATGATGGTAGTGATGGTTTAAGATTTTTAGTTTCCTGGTAGATTAAGATACAATCAAACATACGTATTATTAAGGAATAAAGTAGTTTGCAATAAGAATGAAGCTTATTTCAATTCATTATAAAAACCTCATATATCTTCAACTTGTTTGTTAAACTCAATCTTGTTGGAAAAGTAGAAGAGTGTGATTCATCAACACCAGAAGAGTCGTCTCTCTGTTGAAAGGTAACAAAAATAAATGATAATTTGTTGTTTTAATTATTTTTCCGTCATAAGGTGTAAGTATTACCTTAATTTCTTTATTGATTGACAATTCTGCATCAGAACTTCCTTCAGTAGAATCTTCCTCTCCAGACTTCAAAGAAGTACTATAATGAAGAATCTCAGATTTCATCAATTCTTTGGAATTATCATCATCTTGCAAATTTTCTTTCTCTTGAGGATCGTCATGTACCTGAGTATCTTTAGAGACTAGAAAAAGATACGGTGAGTTTGATAGAGAAAAATTGACTATCTAATCAAAGAAAAAGAAGCGGTGAGTTTGTCAAATAAAAACATCAAAAGAAACTTAACATAAACAACATTTGAGAGAATTTAAAAAGTTTCATACCGATTAAACAGTCCAACTCTTGGTTCTGTATGCTCGTGCCTTCCTTGTCATTTGGTTCAATATCAATGCCTTCTCCCTCATCATAGCCTTCAACTGATCTCTCATGTTCAATTTCCTGATACAACTCTTTTTCCAAGTCCTTGTCTAAATTCCCTGTGCCTAAAACCTTCTGACTTTCTGAGTAGTAAATTGGACAAACCCCACACTCTTTGATTTTTAAAAGGTCACCAAGTTCTCTGCCACTAGTTGTATAAGTTGTAATATAGAATTTAAAAGAAACCTTTCTTTCATTCCTTCTGAGTATGGTGTCACAAAGGAATGGATCATACCATACAAAAATATGATCCATTTCCAAATCTGTAACCAGTTTAGGCTTCCACTTAGACTTATTTCCCACTTCCGTCCTTCCATCTTCCGAATAGCACTGACATAGGATTCCAACAAAGTATTCACCCTCTTGTGTTATGTTAGATGGAGTAACAACAACTGCTAAAATGAAGCCCACCCAGTTGAGAACGTCAATAGTTAAGGAGGCGTATGTGGTGGATCGTTGTTTGAACTGACTTGGAATTCTGTGTCCTGGCAGACATACCTCGGCGCTGTTATAATTGTAGCTGTGGGTTTGGAATCTGTACTTTCTCACTAATACATTGTGAAAGGCAGCACTTTTCATTGTTAACACGGCATCTTCCGTCATGCAGGCAAGGGAGGGTCCATCCAGTTTCATCTTAATGCTATTCGTTATTGAAATGTATTTGTTCTGTCCAATCATGTTTACTGAAAAAGTCTTCAAAGTGGATACTGTCGTTAACGACAAGCAGTTGCCAGCCTGAAACTCTTTGATGCTTAAAGGCAGTTCTGGCAGACATTGAAGCTTACTGCAATTGTCTAAAGACTGAACTTCTAGCTCTAAGAGGTCTTTGATGCTAGCAGGCAACTCCTTCACATTGCTTCCATCTAGTCTTAACTCTTGCAATGATGATAAAGAACTAATGTTTGCAGGGAGTTCAAACAAGTTACCACAGTCTTTCAAGTGTAGTAATCTTAGTAAGCTCAGACCATCAAATAGGGCTTTTAACTTTGATTTGGTTACTACACTGCACTTAGAAACCCGAAGTTCAGTAAGTGCCAAGTAAGACAATTCAATCGGTAGACTTGTTAGATTTAAACCTTCTAGATTTAACGAATAAAGCTTGGTCATACCACCAATTGATGGGTGCAATATTTCGATTCCTGTATTGCTCAAATCCAACCTTCTTAGTGCATCCGAAGATAATGAAAATTCCTTCAGACCATAGCAACCTTTGACACTGAAGTTTGCTAGAGATTTTAAATGCTTCTCACCCATAAGACTTGGCACTTTTTTGCACCCATCCAGTAGCAAAGTAACAAGTGTGTCCTTAGAAAAAGCAGAAGCCTGAACTTCAAGTAATTCTTCACAACCAGAAAGGCTCAACTGTTTGAGTTTTGGCGCGCCAGACAAATCAGGGAGGTTCTTCAACTTTTTGCACCCACTTAGGTCGATTGCCTCTAAATTCGTAAGTTTCTGTAATAATTCAAAACGATACTTCAAATCTTATTAATATTCTCAAACTTAATTTCCGTTGGTCTTTCAAGCATACATTCATTTTCACACCATACAAAGGAAGCAAACACAAATGAATAAAAACAAAGAAAGAGCAAACAAATATGAATTAGTTTACAAGTACACACACCTGTTTCTTGAACCAAAGATGTTCAATGTTGCTGTGCGGCAAACAAATCTGAATCAGCTGCTCAACGCGAATAGGTTCTGGGAGAGACTTCAAGGGATACCCATTCCATTCAAGGTATGCCAATTTGTCAAAAAATAGCTTAAAATTTTTAGGAAGATGCACCGTGCCCAATTTCTTCTTACATTTGGGGACGTGGAATTTCAGAAATCTTAATTCAGTCATCAAGTTGAATGTGTCAGCTTGAACTTCTAAATCTAGATTTTGAGACAAGTCTAATATTATTCCTTCAACTGCATCAATGCCCTGACAAATTCAAAGAAATCACTACATTACCACAGCAAATCAACAATAATTTTATATTTAGAAAATGTTAACACGTAACATCCCATACCTTGTTATTTCTAAGTAAATCACAAATGTCTTTAGCATCTTTCAGTCGGCGACGCTTTCCTCGATCATTATCTTCTTGTCGAGCTATATCAAACGCCATATTTTGTAGTAAGCCATGAATCTGTATCGTATTACTGTTTGAAATGGATATAAGAGCTTTATTTTCTAGGATTTCTACTCCATTAGTTGCATTGAAATCAAAGGTATTTAGTATCCTTGTGACCAAGTCTTTGTTTTCATCTTTGAAAAAGAATGCAATGTCAAGAAACATCTTCTTCTCTCGCCATGATAATCCATTATAACTTAGCTGTAACACTTTTTGAATATCGGGGAAGGTTTCTCCTTTGTTCTCATAATCATTCAACTCAGATACCCAAGATTTTGGTTTTTTTGATTTAAAATGTAAACCCAAAACCTTTAAAGCTAATGGAACACCTCCTGCATATTCAACTGCCCTTTCCGAGATTATACGCTCATAACCCTCTCTGGGATAGCTTTGCCGGAAGGCTCCTAAGCTAAAAAGCTTTAGAGAGTCTTTAAGCTTCCATGGTGTGACCTCATATATCTTATCAACTTTTTCACTCAGAATATCTTTGTTTCTCGTTGTGATAATGAGTCTACTGTTATGTCCAAGGTCGTCAAGTACTCCACACAAATCATCTAATTGTGTAGCATTATCAACATCATCAAGTACAATAAAACTTTTTTTACCACTGAGCCTCCTCTTAATGAATGTGTGTTGTCCATGAACGTTAGATGCAGTAATTTCTCGCTTCAGTAGCTCACTAAGAAGCTTATTACGAACATACATTTGTCCAAACTTTTCTGTTTCTTCGCTTACATTTTCCAAGAAACACACATTATCATAATGGGCAAAGTTCTTGGCAAACATTTTTTTAGCTATGGTTGTCTTTCCTATTCCACTCATGCCCCAAATTCCGATTCTTGGTATTTTTTTCAGTAATAATTCAATATGTTCATCCTTTTCATCAACTTTAACAAGGTTTTTCAGTTCATTGGGAAACATGAGAGACAACTTCTGCTTAACATCTGCCACAACTTCATGAATGACTTGAGAATAATCCCTAGAAGATTAAAAAAAAAACAAATTAAACTTAAAGGAAAACTTTGTGTTGGTGAATGATTCGATTGGACTAGACGATGAGACTACCCCTCATATGTAGCAAGACAACTATATACTTATATTATCAACACCCATAATCATCATATCATATGTTCATCACAAACTCAGCATTAATTATAACTACCTACTATTTGAAAAGTTAATAACAAGGAGTATATACAACATAAGAATGAATAAGAGCTTAGAGGAATTAAATTAAATTGTACATACCTATATTTGCGAGAGTCCCAGCCAGATATATTGGCGGCCGAAGAGAGAGCACCTTTCCACTCCAACACTTTGTCTAGATGAGATTTACTGCTGGCTAGTTCTCTCATGTATTTTGCAAATGCTTTCTGATAACTCTCTTTCTGATAACGTACATGTGATGGATCTACATCACAGAACACGGGTATAACTACCTGTCCATGAAGTTCTCTGCATTGGAGTATATGGAGGAGTTCATCCAAGCACCACTTTGAGGTTGCATAGTTTTCTGAGAAAACTACAATAGAGATATGTGAGTCCTTGATTGCTTTGGCAAGAGAAGGTCCAACCTCATCTCCTTTTTTAAGAATATAATCAATGTATGTATGGATACTGTTATCTGTAAGAGCTTGATGAAGCTGGGCAGTGAAGTTTTTACGTGTATCCTCTCCCCTAAAGCTAATGAATACATCGTACTCTTTGTGAGAAGTACGCATATTTCGGATAATCAATCAGTTATCTCCACTTTTTCTTTCTCTTAGCTTTTCTTTGATATAAACCAAGAAAACGGAATATATGAGAGTCTGGTTTCTTAGATCTGTTATAAAAAAACTTGAAATAAATAAAACAGTAACCTTTTCTTTTATGGAGGAATACAAACCTGAGAGGGTGGGTCCCACAATTTTTTTTCGGTGTGATGACAAAATCACTTAGGGTTGGGAGTAGGTTTTTAGAGTGTTTTTTAACAGAAAATTTTAAAGAATTGCGTTGAAATGTGTAATATTTTTTAAAAAATTTTAAAATATAATATAATTTTATATATTATTGTAATATTATATTGTTTTTAAATTTTTTTAAAAATATGACACATTTTAAAATATATATGCAATTCTTCAAAGTCTTTCTCCCAAGACTATTCAAAAACCAAATCTCAAGTAGCACCTTAAAGTAGGTCTACCATCTTGCTGTGATGGATAATTAAGAATTCTTCATTTTTAGTCTATAAAAAGGTGGGAAGAAAGGTCCAAGAAAGAGGCTATTTTTTCTTCCAAGATTAACCCTTTTTTCACTCTTTTGTCAACGCTTTTGTTGTGGTGTTGACTGTGTCGTAGATATGAGAGAATGGGTCACGACGATCTGGAGCATTAACCACCACTCAAATGGAAGAAGAAAAGTAATAGTACTAAATGGAGAGGATCCATATCCCATTTGTGTATTCCCCTCAGCCAACTAGTCTTCATATCTTTTACCAATAAACATGACAAGTTGAGACTCGTCGGTGGGTTTAACTACTAATAAATTAATTAAATATTAAGCTAATAGGAGTTTAGACAAGGTACTTGAAAAAATTAAAGATTAAAAAAATGGAATACAAGAGGGAAAATGTCTGTGTCGGTCCTTCGTCACCTTTCCCGCTTTGACTAAACAAGATAAACTTCACAAAAAATAGTGTTACTTTTAACATAGATTCCCGTGTTTTTGTCTCGGAAGTAAAGACAGCGGACAACTATCAATTTTTAAATTACTAAACCACTAAAATAGTCTAATAATGTTATGAGTATTTCAAATTTCTACTTTTCAAATTTTAGTTTACTACTCCCTCTCTCTTGTAAAAATTATCTCATTTACGCTTTTTCTTTTTATGTGTCTCAAAATAAATATAATATTTATTATTTTTTCATTATTATATTCTTATTTATTAATTTTATATTTTTAATTATTCTATTAATTATAATAATTAAAAATATTTTAGTAAATAATATTAATTTTATTTTTAAAATCAACATATTTAATTATTTTTTAAAATTATACAGAATTCAAATGAAACATTTATTATAAGATAAATGAGTAATATTATCTCATTTCTTCTCTTATTTATTAGTATATACTATTTTTCCAAAATCGAAACTTTTATAAAATTATAAATCATGATATTAATATAATATTAATTTTTCGTTATATTATCCTCTTAATTATTAATCATCCCTTCTATTCTTTAACTTCTTTTTTATCATTAATATATGATAATCTATAATAATTTTGTAAAAAAATTTATAATCTCTTTTTTATAAAAAAATTAGTATTTTAGATTGGGTTTGTCTTTGATTTACCTTTCAGTGAGATTCAATTCAAGTGTATCAACCTGCATCACTGACCGGTTCTATCCTCGAATATGATAGGCAACTACCACATATTTTCTGCGAGGAGACAATCTCACCATACGGAGACAACACTCCGAATAGACTAAGGAGGGTATCCTCCGACCATGAAGGCTTCGAAGACACCCCGACTAGCTCGTCGACCAAGACGGGTCCCCTCACTCAACCTCGCGTATGGCAAGGATCACCCACGACGGGCAGATGTTCCTCCCGACCATCCTTCTCGTAGGGCTGACTACCAACATCTCCGAATATCACAGAGTCTTCGTGGCTCCGGAAAGATCACATCCATATCCTCCTGACCTTGCGGAGGACGCCATCCAGTTAGGGGACCACGTCCGGGTCCCCACTACTCATGTAGGACCTAACAGTCTCTACGTTGGGCCTGCTTGACCAGTCTAATTTAGAGATCTTGGCCCAACGTCGAGGGCTATAAATACCCTCTCTTTCGAGAGGGTCAGGTATTCAACACTTTCTTATTCTCACGCTTGCTTGCTCATTCCGCAACTTACTTAGGCATCAGAGTGTCTTGCAGGTACCCCCCTCCCCTCCTCACTCAACTTCTGCTCGAGCTAGTTATGACGGTCCATTCTGATTAGGTACGATAAGTGGTGTCGTCTGTGGGAAACTTGCTTCCCCGTCTTCCGTTTACTCAAGACTAAAGCTAAGTCACTCTTCCGACTGCCATGGCCGATCAAACGGCAGAAAACAACATGAACTTCTGCATCGTCGACGTCAACAACAACGTCACCGACAATAATGTCAGCATCGATAACGCTAGTACTGCTGGCCACAACACGACCCTCGCCGTTAATATGCTTGGTCCTTCAGACTATAGAGACAGAGAAACTGCCTTGTCATCATCACTATCTCGACAACTTGAAGAGATCGGCCACCTCCTCAGAACTACCAACCTAACCAGTTCCAGGAGGTCCCGTTCCCGCCGGAGCAAACGCCACGACCAGGGCACTGTTCGCGACGATAAACCAAACAAATTATCTGATCTTCTCTCAAGGAGAGAGATTGAGGATGTAACACCCCGTTTTCAATTAATTGAATTATTTAAATTTGGGAATTTATTTTATTAGAATTAATAAAATAAAAAGAATTATTTATTTGGAATATTCGAAGAAATAAGAAATATAGGGATTTTTATGTTTTGGGCTTAGATGCTGTTAGTAAAGAGCGGGGGTGAAAAAGAAGTAAAGTTATGTGTTGGAACTCAAGTTATTCCTCATTTTGGTTTTCACGATAAACAGAAGTTAGAATTGGGGAAATAGAGCTCTGAAGGTACGAGGAACGAAGAACGGAGAACTTCGCTCAAGAATTCAAAGCTGCTAATTGATAAGGTAAGGGGGGTTTATACTCGATTTACCTTTGTTTATGGGTTTATGTACGGTTGATTCGGGTAATGGTAGGAAAATCCCAATTGTTAGATGTTTCTAGGGATCGATAACCGTAGGACTGAACCTTGTTAGAAAAGGATTAGGATTCCCAATTCTCATGAATCGATTAAGAATTTAGGTCCCAAATGGTGAATTGGGCGTATGTCTAATGATCGTGAATTTACCTTGGAAATTGTAGGGACGACCTCAGTGTCGGTAGAATTCCCCAAAGTTACGGTTAATCCCCGGTTAAGGTTATTATAATGATTATTAGTAAATTGGATATTGTGGTATTGTTGTGGATCGTACAAGCTCGATGCGTTAGGTACTGAAATACGCGTTTTGGCCGACATTTTTCCGCGTTTGGACGGCTGTTGTGAGCCACTGCAGGTTCAGAAAAATCTGACCCGCGCTCATCAACACGGCCGTGTTGTTTAACACGGGCACCCGTGTTGATGCTACTGTGTTGAATTTCTGAATTTTCTGAATTTTGATTTCAGTGTTTCGATGTTGGATTTTTATTGCCATGCTTTTAGATATGTTCTCGAGCATGAGTTATGATATAATTGATGTGATTGGTTGATGTTTGAATAGTATGCTGAGTGATTACATGCTATTTGTAACTTGATATGATTGATGTTTAAATAGTATGCTGAGTGGTTACATACTATTCATATCCTGTTATGTTTGATATTGTTGATGTGCATGATATGTTGAATGATGTTCATAGTATGCTGAGTGTTACATACTTACATATCATGTTGCATTTGTTAATTCCCATTGTGTGGAATTAACATGGTGGCCAATATACGTGTCCGCGATTTAATGGAACGTTGAGGTGGTAGCCGTGTCCGCGATATAATGGAACGGTGAGTTATCCGTGACCCGCGATATAATGGGGCGGTGTAGTGGTACCACATGCATGGGTGTGTTGCATTACTCGAATATAACATGAATGGATGATTTTTCCAATGTTATATTTGATTGTTTGTATGCACGTGTGATTGATATATGGTTGATGATGTTGATGGGTATTTGTAAATATGAAAAGCAATATGTCATGGATATATGATTTGTAAAGGTTTTGTAAACTATGAAATATGTTAATTATTGGGTGATGCTTATGATTTCGTGAATTGATTGTTATGAATGTATAACCAAATGTATATTTGAGAAGCTCACCCTTACTGTTGAATATTTCAGATTGAGGAGCTTCGCTCAGGTGCTTGGCGAAGGCTTATCGTGTCTAGTTTAGTTTTATTCTAGTATGTCCGGGTCATGCTCTGATAGTTGTAACTCCGGGAACGTTTGGTTGTCGAGCTGCTTTAGTCAGACTCGTTTATTTTCTTTTAATTGTTATAATAAGATGTTGACTTTCCAGGTGTTAATCCCTGATGATTTTGGAAAATATTATAACGTTTGATTTTATTAATTAAAATTTTCCGCTGTGTAAACATGTATGAGTTACCACTAAGATTATGCATGACAGGAATTATTTTATTAAAAGAGAATTGTAGCATTCCTCGATTATTACATGTACTCTGAGTTATAATTTTTAATATTTGCGAAAATTATATGCGGGTTTTAGAGGGTGTTACAATAGTGGTATCAGAGCATAGTCGGTCGTTGTGACCAGAGTCTTGAGTCAGTCATTCCTTTTCGTATGCGACTAGTGCGAGGTAACACTGTCGATACTGTATTCTGACGTGGAGTATGTTTTAATTCTAAGGAATATGGCTGGAAGAGGTAATGGACGAAATGATGCTGCACTAGCTGAGGCTTTGGGGATGTTAGCTGGTGTACTTGCTGGAAACCCAACTGGAGGCGTGATTGGTGCTGATAGGCAATTGGGAAATTTCCAGAGGAACAATCCTCCGTTGTTCAAAGGTACACATGACCCCGAAGGTGCTCAGAAGTGGCTGAAGGAAATCGAAAGGATTTTCCGTGTGATCG